ACCACGACCACCACAACCGCCGCCCCCACTACGACTACCACGACCACTGCCCCCAGCAGTATCAGCAGCAGCAGCAGTAGCCGCCACGGAAAAGGCATTAGCAGCAGCAGCAGCAGCAGCAACGGCGGCGGTGACAACATCCCTACCGTCACCAGCGGCAGCGATGACATCACCACCACCAGCAGCAGCGATGAAACCAGCAGTAGCAGTAGCAGTAGCAGCAGCAGCAGCAGTCACGGAAAAGGTACTAGCAGCAGCGGCAGTGGCACCATCCCGGAACCATCATACACGTCCGCCATCGACATGGAGACGGGCCTCACGTCCAACGCGGTTCTGTTGGAGACAATCAGCAACGCCACGTCCGTGCCGCTGCAGAGCATGGCGGTGGTGGACAGCAACAACAAACCGCTGAAGCGGGCCTCCCGCATTGGTGACGGCGACGTGTACCGCCCGGTGCGTATCGGCTTCACTACGGCGGCCGATGCCGCTAATGTACGCAGCGCCATCGCGGCGGGTCTCGTGCCGCACGTGCGGTTGCCGGCGACCCCTACCGAAAGCAGCGGCCTCTCGCAGCGCGACAAAATCGTCATCGGCTGCACTGTCGGCATCGGCGTGCCGTTCATCATCCTCATTATCGTGCTGGTCTGCTGCTCCTGCCGTCGTCGCGGTGGCGGCTTGAAAGGGAACCGGAGTGACGGCATCGAATTCTCGAAGCTCAGCCCCAGCAACAAAGACCTCATCGACTTAGACATCAACACAACGCGTCTGACGACGGCGCCGACGGTGCCCATCAAGCAGCAGGGACTACACTGACCCGATGCTGGCAGCGGCAGCTGTGCACCCATGCGCAATACACACACGAGAACAAAAACAAGCAATACATATAGAGAGAAGACGAGCACTGATGGCTTCAGCTACGGGGAGAAGCATTGCGAGGCAAGTATCGGGGCGCAGCACAACACGTACCGGCACATTCTTTATGCCTCAGTGCTACCGCTACGACTGTGGCTTCTACGGCTGTACCTGAGAACGAGAAGAAGCCTCTGTGTGTATGGGGCCGTAGCGGTGGCAGAGCAGCAGCGGCAGGAGGAGGAGGAATGAGGGCCAAGAAGGGACCCACTCCAACAGTGTGTCTGTCTGTATATCTGTCTATGTGTTTCTCCCGGAGTGCCTGAAGAGCGCGAGGCGAAAGGTGATCGAAGGAGAGGAAAGCAAACCGAAACAAGGCATGGCTGACTGCGCTTACTTTCACCTGTTCTAATTATATAGGATGCTGAATGCTTTTCCCTGACAAGCAACCGGAAAGTATTGATCTAAGACTTCCTTTTCCGTTTTCTTTTTTCGTGTATTTTCATTTTTGTTTTGTTTTGGTTTTCGTCTTATCGTACNCCAAAAAAAAAGTTAACATAAAACGCACACATGGCGGCGTCTACCACGGCAGCTGCTGCTTGTCAATACGAACACCTTCCTTCGATGTTTTCCTCCCTGTGAATATCTCTACCTATACCTCTACCTATATCTATCTATATCTATCTATTTATCTATCTATCTATCTATTTATCTATATGGCTTTGTAGAAATGACAGCAACATTTCACCACCTCTCACCCCCTTTCCCTGTTGCTGTATTTGCCCATTTATTTATTTATTTTTTTTCTTTTCTTTTTTGTGTTGCTGGTGCTGACTGTTTGCGCCACTTCCCCACTCAACCACTCAACCACGTTTCTCTGCTGTTCCGCTACACAGCGGATCTTGTCCCGTTTGTTTCGGCCGCACAGTCACTCCCGCCGCTCTCGAGGTGCGACCCGTCTTGGCGCGGAGGCGGCAGCGGCGGGGGGCGAAGGCCAACGCACACCTCAGGAGGGAAGAGGCGCGCGGTTCGGGCGGGTGCTCCGTCCGAAAATGAGGAGAATGAGGGCGTAACGTGTTGTATTTTCTCTTCTGCATTGTGGATGTGGCTATCGACCAGGCGCCGGGCGCTGGTGCAATGAAAGCGGAGTGGCACACCCCACCACACTCGCACGCTGTGGGCACGTCTGGCAAGAGGGAGTGCGGGGGACGTGATGCGTCGCGCCCGACACGTGTGGCGTGGGTGGGAGGGGACATGCAAGAGTCGAGAGGCGGAGAGTGGAAGAGGGGCGGTGGGTGATCGGTGTGCTGCTGTGGTAACCTGCAGCAGTACCAGCAGTCATAAACCGAAGCGCTGCGGAGGGAGTGGCAGCGTCGGTGCGCATGTGCCTCTTCCTGGACCTGACGTCTGCCAATGAAAGTGAGCGGGCAGACTCCGAGTGAACGGATACACCTCACCTGTGTCTGTGTGCGTGTGTGTGTGTGTG